TCAGTGAAAACGAGCTTGTTCGCCACTCCTTGTCCTATTTGAAATGTGCTCTGTGGGAATGTTTAGACAATCTTAAAAAATAAAAAATCTCAATAAAAGTAAAAGCTCGAGTAACTTAATATAAAGTCAAGGATGTATTGACAATTAAGCCAAGGTCCAGGTCGGTATCATCTTTGTGTCTTGCGTAAAAGTTATATATTTTGCGGATAAATTTCAATGAATATGCCCTTATTATTTTGAGAAATAAAACATATATGTGCAGCACAAACCAACCGAGTGGAGTATTTTAACTCGAGATATTGAACTTGGTCAGTGGATTGATTTAGCACCAGTGACCAACAAATTCAAATTCATTACTTACCCTGGATCGGTAGATTTCCGGCTCTTGCTTTCCCTTCCCCATTCCGCCTGTGCCTGTTCTCACTGGAGCAGCATAGTTTGCCGAAACCGCACTGGCTGTGAGGTTTTCACCGATTTCCTGCTGTTGATTTTCTGAGAATGCAAAACGTTTGTTTTTCTTATTGAACTTTCAGAGTAAATCATGATTCATTCTTAAGTTCAGATGTTGATGAATTTCTACCGGGAAATTCGATAATTTTCCGTTTTATTATTAAGATGAGGGATTATCACTGCTCGGGAATTAGTGGGGAAAGTGAAACATGTCAGTAAAGGCTTAACTACTCACCATCCGTCCAAATGTTGAGCAGTGCGATGTCCACATGATCGTTCTCATTGGCTGCTTTTTGACCCAACTGCCTGGCTGCTGCACGTAACTGGCGCTTCAATTCCAATCGCTCATCTTCCAACTTTTCAATCTATTGAAAAAAAAACAGGATTGTATTCTTGGCCAGGCCTTATTGGTTGGTAAATTATCGTATCTCTTGTACAGGCTATGGATGTGAAATAAATGTTCAGTCTATACTCTACGTGAGCGAAATCATAGAGACAGATGAGGATGCAGGTGAGTGGCAAGGGAATATGAAGGAGTAATATAGTTCGGGTAATCTCTACTTATTTCAGATGTTCAGATTGATCTTACGCAAAACCTCATGTTAGTAATGAAACTATGTTGCGTTCTAGAGTTGGCGATGCCCCCCACTGGTGCGTAAGTAGTGTTGTATATTCTGAGGGTTTCCAACCATTCCTATTACTTAGTGCTGAAATATGGTTGTTTCTGTGAACCTTCTAACGTTGTCGAGTACTCGTCTGGTGTGTACTCTCGTATTCAGATTAGGGTTGATGCGCTGAAGCACTTGCTCGATCTTCCTCCAGTAGACTCGATAGCATACTTTGGGTACAGGGATATGCATTGGATGAAAGAAGATCAATTGTGATCACAACATGATGTGGCGTGAAGGAGTTTCAGTTTTCGATCCTACTTGTTAATGAAATTTGCTTTAACCTTCCCAAGTTCAATCCTAGAATGATATAACTATTGGTCCGCACCCACAGAACTCATGTATTTACTAATTCCGTTTTCATGGTTCGGTTCTTAGTATACCATACTTTGAATGTTATAACTATCCTTCGCTTAGCATTTGACTTACTTTTGCTCTCCTCTTCATCGGATGCCTACATGTGTCGCCAAGAAACGGCTCCCAGTCTATAGCGCGAAAAACAGTAGCAATTAGTTTAGCTGGTACAGCGAGAAATAAGGCTATTCTTTCTTTCCCAGATGTGCTATTTGTGGAACAATCCTACTATTTCACACTAATTTGTCTGTGTTATTTAAACTTTCAGTATCCTTCGATACTTATCAAAATATTTACAATCTGTGTATAGTCCCCAACTTGCTGCTTGTTAGTTCGTTATGGTAAAATCTCGGTGTAATATGGTGAACTACTGACCTCTTTTTGAAGAACTTCATTCACTGCACGCTCCTCCTCTGCTTTTTCACATTTGATTCGTTTGTATCCATCCAAATCGACTGGTTCATCTAATGCAATGCCCAATTTAGTACGGAGGTGTTCATTCTCCAAACTGATCTCGTTCCGTGCCGATTCGGCTCGACTGGCAGCCTGGCAAAGTTCATCCATTTGTCTTTCTTTCGAGTCTAATTGGGCACGAACCGCCTTCAGTTCACTGACCGCTTCGGCCAATCCATATTCACCTTTCTCGTATCGCCT